TTTTTTTTATAGTGTTCCGAATTTTCATAGTGCTTATATTGAAAAAATTTTAGGTGCGTTTGGAACTCGTTTCAAAATAATTTTAATTTATTTTGTATGAAAATGGAAATAAAAACGGTTTCAATCTCAGATAGAAATCATTTTTAAAAATGTGTTTGGAAGTTTTTTCAAGAGATTGTTTTCAGTATAAAAAAAATCTATTAACGTCTCTCTTTCTCTACTCAAGAGAGGAGAAAACGAAAACAAAACATGAAAAACGATTAAAAGTCATTTTTCATTTCTCTCCCATTTTACATTAAACTAAAAATTCGTTTTCATTTTTATTTATTTATCTTTAATTGTGTCAAACGTCGTTTCTCTTTCGTTTTTATTTTTTTTTCTCAAAAAATGTGAAAAACAAAAATGAAAACAACTCCAAACACATCCTTTATGACTCCTCTACTACTCGTAGCTACTATCATGACAAGATAAACAATCGCAAACAACACATCCTTTATGACTCCTCTACTACTCGTAGCTACTATCATGACAAGATAAACAATCGCAAACAACAGCCACAAAGCTTCTAGCAAAAAGATGACCAATAATGCTCCAAACAATAAGAAAAGATCGAGCACCATATGAGGGGAGAAACATTGTCAACCTGGTGTTGAATTAACGCATATGCCCTACACTTTACCGCCATCAAATGTACAACACCAGCAGAGACGAACCTTAAGAGAGCATGGAAATGACATGAAAAACCACAAAAAATAGCCAGCAATCCTGCCCCATTTCATCTTCGATTCAACTTTTTACGCCACACAGAACAAATACCACCGCACCACTATTCTGACCTCGTTGTTGTGAGCTCGTGGATTAAAATATAAGGATAGAAGTTTGGTGGCGTGTCTAAAAGTACGTAGAATAAACCATTTTTAATACATATTTAACGACTGAAAAAAAAAAATTACTGATAATTTATTTTTTTGAACCTACCAAAAAAATTCCCTGAGTATGAATCCAAACACTCCTTTTGTTCTATTCCCCTCATTTGTGGAGAAATAGATCCTCCAACCTAAATTAAGAACCTAACTAATTATGCAACAACATCAATTTCTAGAAAGGCGTGTTTATTGACACCCTTTTTTCTATTTTTCACGCACCTAACATTATTATTTTACTCATTAATAAAATTATTTTTAAAGATAATAATAATCTATTAATGTCTCTCTTTCTCTACTCAAGAAAGGAGAAAACGAAAACAAAACATGAAAAACGATTAAAAGTCATTTTTCATTTCTCTCCCATTTTACATTAAACTAAAAAATCGTTTTCATTTTCATTTATTTATCTTTAATTGTGTCAAACGTCGTTTCTCTTTCGTTTTTATTTTTTTTTCTCAAAAAATGTGAAAAATAAAAATGAAAACAACTCCAAACACATCCTTTATGACTCCTCTACTACTCGTAGCTACTATCATGACAAGATAAACAATCGCAAACAACACATCCTTTATGACTCCTCTACTACTCGTAGCTACTATCATGACAAGATAAACAATCGCAAACAACAGCCACAAAGCTTCTAGCAAAAAGATGACCAATAATGCTCCAAACAATAAGAAAAGATCGAGCACCATATGAGGGGAGAAACATTGTCAACCTGGTGTTGAATTAACGCATATGCCCTACACTTTACCGCCATCAAATGTACAACACCAGCAGAGACGAACCTTAAGAGAGCATGGAAATGACATGAAAAACCACAAAAAATAGCCAGCAATCCTGCCCCATTTCATCTTCGATTCAACTTTTTACGCCACACAGAACAAATACCACCGCACCACTATCCTGACCTCGTTGTTGTGAGCTCGTGGATTAAAATATAAGGATAGAAGCTTGGTGGCGTGTCTAAAAATACGTAGAATAAACTATTTTTAATACATATTTAACGGCTAAAAATAAAAAATTATTGATAGTTTATTTTTTTTGAACCTACCAAAAAAATTCCCTGAGTATTAATCCAAACACTCCTTTTGTTCTATTCCCCTCATTTGTGGAGAAATAGATCCTCTAACCTAAATTAAGAACCTAACTAATTAAGCAACAACATTAATTTCTAGAAAGGTGTGTTTATTGACACCCTTTTTTCTATTTTTCACGCACCTAACATTATTATTTTACTCATTAATAAAATTATTTTTAAAGATAATAATATTTTAAATAGAATACTCATTACACATCCCATCATTAAAAGTAGTGGTGACAATTCGTGTCACATATCGTATTCGTGTCGTATTTTGATCGTTTCTTTCTAAATTTGTAGTCAACCCGAACACGACCCGTGACACGAAATTTTTTAAAAACCGCAACACGACCACTTTACGAGTTGACACGACACGACCTGAAAATGACCCGTAACACAAAATTGACCCGCGAACCTGAAATTGACACGAAAATTGTATACTTTTATTTAGTTTTTTACATATTAAAAATAACTTAAAATTCATAACACACTAAATTACAATAACATCCATTGAAATTAAGCAAATAATAGTATAAAATTTTGAGTATAACTATCATGATATCACAAGTTTATAATAAAATTTAAACTATGTAATGAAAAATATATGTATTTTTTAGTTTTTTACGAGTTTCGTGTCGTGTTCGGGTTAGGCAGGTCCAACCTGAAATTGACCCGTGTTTTTCGTGTCAATTTCATGTCAACCCAATTCTGACCCGAACATCTTTTTTCTCAACCCTAACTCGCAAAATTAGTGTCGTTTTCGAGTCGTGTCGTCGTGTTATGACCTATATTTCCGGCCCTAATTAAAAGATATATATTACCTAATTTACCTTCTAAAAATTATTGCGCAAAAGTTAAACTACGTTAGTAATTTCCAGAATGGTTGAATTCATATATTAGCTAGAACCAGTCTTATGTGTTGCAAAAAACGACAATTTGAGTTTTTGTGTGTGCGAGAGATAGAGGAAAAGAAAATCTGAAAAAAACGATTATCACGACTTCCTAAGGGGCATAGAGTCATATATATATATTAGTTTGGTTACACTGCATGTCAAATGGAATTAGTGGGTAGACCTTTTCTTTATTTTTATTTTTATTTTTTTCATTGATAATGATATTGTAAGGGGATTGCTTATTGTCATGTGAAATTGGGTGATGAGGTTATATAGAGTATTCCAAAGAACAATCACTGGGCAATGGCTAACTACGTAGCCTTTGCTTCCCCCTTTTTTTTTTTGTTGGTGTGTTTGTTTGTTGTTTCCCTTGTTTAATGAAGGCTTTATACAAGAAAAAATAAATTAAGTTTACTGATTGATTTAAAATCTCGCAATTCATTGTGTTGTTTATACTAACTATCAAAAAATTGTGTTATTTATATTAGTATTGAAGGGCAAGGCAGTAATGGAGGTGGATTTCCTGGCCAGATCAGCTTGATTCTCAAAACACACCTCTCAAACGATTTCATTTAACTTTTTTAAATTATTTAAATGTATAAATATTTATTAAAAAATTAAAAAAAATTAAATAATATTAATTAATATAAGAACGTGTGTGTTAAAAAGTAGAATTGAAGATGTTTTAGTTAAAAACACTTTTTTTAAAAATTTTAAAAGAGGTGTAATAATTAAAAAGAGGAGTGGTTTAAAAATGTGTACGTCACCCTTTCTAAAAAAACCTAACACCGCAAGTAGTAGGCCCAGACCCATTAGTCTTATGGGCCTATAGACGAGCCGAATTAGAACCTGACCCGAAGCGGATTTGGGTTTTATTATTTATTCCTTTATATCTATTTTTAAAATAATGGTAAAAGGAGAAGGAGATATATACCCTTAAAATATATGAGTCTTTGATTATTACTCCTTATTTTTAGTTAATATTTTTTAGTCAAAAAGATATTAGTCAAGAGTAAAATATAAAAATTTTAGAATTTGTTACTCAAGTCACAATTTAAATTTTATTATTACAGTATTTCTTTTTATAAAAATTTAAATTTAAATTTTTTATTATATTATTTTTTTGAGAGAAAGAGAGAAATAGGCTAAGACTTGAGATTAATTAAAATTAATAGGCCAATAGTTTACATAAGTTAATAAATAGGCTAAATTACTGTTTTTGTTCATAACTTGTCTGGTTATGAACCATAACTTGACAAATTATTATCCATAAATCACGATTTTTATCCATAACTTGTCTGGCTATGAACCATAACTTGACAAATTTGTCCATAACTTATTTGGTTATGAACCATAACTTGAAAAGTTATGGTCTATTAATTTTTATAACTAAAAATTAGCCTATATACTTAAGCTTTTATTGACATATTTTCTACTATTTTCGTATTTTTTTCTCATATATACAACTTAAGTTCTCAAGAATTTGAGCTGTGAAACAAACCTAACCTCAGAACGCATTCAAATTCACCAATTTTCTCCCTAGGAGAAAGAGATCTTCCAACCCAGCTAATTTTCTAACAGCCCATACTTCTAGAAAGGCCCAACACCATTCTTATGAACCACAAGTAGTAGGCCTAGGCCCACAAGTTGTGTGGGCCTAATAGACGTACCGACTATATAACCTCACCCGAAGCGGACTGGAACCCGATTTTATTTATTCATTTATATATTTATTTTTAAAATTATGGTATATTAGACGCTGAGCTCTGAGCGAGAAGAGAGAGAGAGAGAGAGAGAGAGAGAGAGGCAATAAGAAAAGTGGTTTTCTTGTTGAAGAGGAAAAACAAAAGACTTGTTCGTTCGCTCATCTGTAATCTAGGGTTCACTCACCTGCATCATCTCACATGGCGCCAGATCCGAACAGCTCCGGCGGAACCTCCAGCGGCTCGCGGAATGAGGCCGCCGTCAAGGTTCCCACCAAGGACCCTAAGAAGAAGGACGACAAAAAGGACGAGGATTTGGTAATTTCTCACTCCTTACTCTCCTCGATTTTTCCTTCTTCAGTCTGTTTGGTTGCCAAGAAAGTGTAGGTAATCCAAAGGAAAAGTAGGTTTTTTGTCGATGCGATATGTAGGAAACGAGTTGTTATCTGTGTTTTTTTTATAAATTTATTTGTTTATTTTTGGGTTTTGAGGAGAACTTGTTGTTGAGTGATCAAAAAAGGATAATTTTTTTGAACTTATGAATTTTGATTGGTGGTAGTCGGATGAGGACTTGGCGTTGAAGCAGCAATTGGAGTTGTATGTGGAGAGGGTTCAGGATCCTGATCCCGGTCTGCAGAAGGTTGCTCTTGAGAGTATGAGGTAAAAAAATTTACTTTTAATTAGTATTAATTTTGTGCTCTTTTTGGATTTTTTCGATCCTTTTTTCCCTGTCTTTCTTGTTGGGCTTATGCTTCTTCCCACAACGATAATTGGGTTTAAACAGTATTCTGAAAGGTTTATGGAAGAGTGTGCCCAAGTAACTTAAATTATTTTATTGATGTCAGTTAAATCATTAATATATGAGGAAGTTTGTTGACGAACTAGTGGAGTAAACTTGACTGAATTTTAAGCAAAGACTAGGCATTATTAGTTAAGTTTAATGGTGCTTAACTAATTATTATCCGTAACTATTTAATGGTGCTTTATCTGCTAGTTGGGGTTTCCTTGCTACTGATATCTGATATCTGGAGAATTTGGAATTTCTAACCTTTGTCTAGATTGTAGACTCCTGAAGTTTACCTGAGACTATAATCATATACTGATGACTGCTATGGTCTTAATGTCGAATTGGTGCAATTACATACGAAATTTACATCTCAAAACTCTTTAATGTTTTTCTATTCTTGAGAGAAGGTTTTCTGAATTCTCGTGTAGACAATGCTTACTTCTCTTTATATGTTTGTTTTTTTATCTAACTTGCTGGTATATTTGAATTGGCTTCATACTTTTAGGAATCTATTTTTCAACAGCAATGCTTTGATGTATAGGTTGTTGTCATGCTTGTGGTTTACCATTGCTTAAATAAATCTTTTAGGCAGGAAATTCGTACATCAACGAGCTCCATGACCTCTGTTCCAAAGCCACTAAAGTTTCTTCGACCACACTATGGAACTTTAAAAGCTTATTATGAAACCATGGCAGATTCAGAGTTGAAGGTACAACATTTTTTGAAGTACGTTTATTTAAAAAATTAGAGTCTATTTACTGCAGTTTGATTAATTTACTCTGTGCTACATGTAGAAATACCTGGCAGATATATTATCAGTCTTGGCATTGACCATGTCCGCTGAGGGAGAACGGGTATGTCTGAATATCAGTCAATTTCTTTTCAGTATGTTCTTATTTCACATAGTTTATTAGGTTCGAAAAAGATTGTCAAACTTCATTCTGGTAGACTGTGTTCTGATGTTCAGAGGGTGCCCAATTATTGTGTGTTCACACTCGTTTGTGTTTCGCAGTTGTTTGAGTACGCAAGTGCTAATGTAAATCCTCTTTTTCAAACTATTTCAGGAAAGCTTAAAGTACAGATTGCAGGGATCAGAAGGTGATATTGGTTCATGGGGCCATGAATACGTCAGGCAAGTAAAATCTGACTTTTATAATTAGTATATCTTGTCTGCTTATTTTTCAGAAGCTCTTTATTATTAGTAAAAGATTGGAGATTGGTTTCTATACGAATATTTTCTGCCATATTGATTTATTTATTTTTTTAAATAGGAACTTAGCTGGAGAGATTGCTCAAGAATATGCTAAGCGACAGGTCTGGAATCTATCCTTTGAATGTGTTAGAAGTTTGTTGATAAGTATATAACTATGTATGCAGTTTTACATGTGTGTTCTTAAGAAGTGCTTTATGTTTCTCACATGCTATAACAGAGTGAAGAGGGCCCTATTGATGATCTAATGGAACTCGTCCAACAAATTGTTGCTTTTCACATGAAGGTAACATCAATAACAAGTTTTGTATTTTGTGTTATCCATCTTGCAAGGATGGGTGATTAAGTGTGTGGTGCATGGTGTATATACAAAATGTTTTTGGGACTCCTTACATTTGTACTGGAATAAGTGATTTCTTATTTTCTTAATTAATTTGTTCTGCTTTGCAGCACAACGCTGAACCTGAAGCTGTTGACCTTTTGATGGAGGTAAGATGGGAGTATTACCTCATTAACAATGTGTTTGTGGTTATTTAACTTCTGAGTTGATTTGCTTATGACTTATGACTGATTGTGCTATATTAAACATTCCAGGTTGAAGACCTGGATCTGTTAGTTGAGCATGTTGATAGCACAAATTTTAAAAGAACATGTCTCTACCTCACCAGTTCAGCAAGGTAAGTGGAAAGGAGGAATAAGATATTTGGTCTATTTATCACATTGTGTCGGAAAAAGGGAATATATAGTTATTTGTCATTCCTTTTTATTTTTATTTTTTATTTTTGATTTTTTGTGTTTTTGCTAATGTTAGTGTCTATTTGTCTCAGCATAGTTGATTGCCTATGCCATTGTGTATTTCATCTTTCTCTCACTTCTTTGTATTGACTCCATTCTCCCACCTATTAATACTGCAGATACTTACCTGGTCCAGATGATATGTTGGTTTTGGATATTGCGTACATGATATATCTGAAATTTGAGGAATATACAAATGCGCTTCAGATTGCTCTATTCCTTGACAATTTGCAGGTTTGTACTTTATCGACAAATATTTTAGTAGTTTACTAATATAGGAAAGTTTACTTCTCAGGAGAAGTTTATATGTATTGAGAGAGTTGTAAGAGGAAGTTCTACAGCTTTGTAATTTTTTATGATTATGAAATTTCAAGTACCTGAGCTTGCAAATTTTTTATAGTTCGGTGCTAATTATTTGTTATTATTTTTTTTTTTTTTACAGTATGCGAAGCAGGTATTTACATCGTGTGATGATCTACAACGGAAAAAGCAATTCTGCTACATCCTTGCCCGACATGTAAGTGTACTGTTTTCTTTATTTTATTTGTCTTCTTCATGCTTGTTTTATGGATTAACTGGAAATTATGGTTAGCATTTTATTTGATATTTTTTTTGTTGAATACCAGTGTTAGAGACTGTTCTTTGACTTTTAGAGAAAATCTGGTTGGTCCTTGAATAGAATAATCTTTTCCTGTGACGAAGATTTTCTGTTTTTGATATCATGGAATTCACTTTGTATGTCCATGAACTGTTCACGGTGTAATTTTGTTAAGAAAAGATAAAAATTAGCTGGACCTAATGATTCGCAATCTTCTGTGGAGTGTATGCTCATATGCATTTTGCCCTTTTCATTGGAGACCAATTCTATTATTTTCACTCCCTTGTGCTAGAGGGATGGTAGAATTAAGGATGGAGTTTTGCTAATTGTTCTTTCTTGTACTATTAAGGGTGTCACTTTTGTGCTTGATGAAGAGGCCGCAGCAGATGATGAGGATCGGGAAGTATTGCAGGATATCATCAACAATGCTAAGTTAAGTGAAGGTTATCTTAACCTTGCTCGTGATATTGAGGTCATGGAAGCCAAAACTCCGGAGGACATTTACAAGGTTAGAATTTTAATTCTGTTTAAGGGCTGATATTGATTTATTGATCTTTGTATGGGTTTTACTGAATCAAGAGATTTATCTTAGTGTTGTATATTATTCTATGGAATCAAGTTTCAAATCAAGCAAAAAGAACATCATCTTTTTTTTTTTTTTTTTTTTTGCATTAATTCCCCTTGTCAAGTATAGAAAAAACGGAAAACCACTTGTCACACCACTCTTTCTGGTTCCAAAGTTTCTTATTACCTCTATTTCTCCTTGATTTCCTTTTTTCATGTGATAAATAAATTCTACCCAATTTAGCTTATTTGACTAGCTGAACCATAATGTTTTTCTTGCATTTCCATCATGGAAACGAAACACATTTGCTTTTTGGGGTTTGAAAATTCATTCTTTTCAATGTGTGGTTGTAAAATATCCAACATTGAGACTTATGTGATAGAAATCGTTTCTTTTGGAAAATTTTAAAGTACTAATGTTGCCGAATTTTGATAACACGCCTCCCATTACCATGTGTGTGGTTAGATTGTCCCTTTAACCTTTAGCTGTTCTTCATTAAGCCGGGGTATATAGTGCTTCTCAGTAATGTTGCCGAATCTGTATTTCACTTGCATGGAGTGTTCCCAAAGTAATCTTGTTAAAGTTGATGTTCAGTAACAAGCTGGTTTACTATGCTGATATCACAATTTTCGTGGGTTTTCTTTTAGGCACACTTGCTTGATGGCCGGGCCAGTGGTGCTGCTAGTGTTGATTCTGCCAGACAGAACTTGGCTGCAACCTTCGTCAATGCTTTTGTAAATGCTGGCTTCGGTCAGGTTAGTTTTTTCCATTTGATATGCGTGCAATATGATGTCTGTAGTGTTATGGATATCGACTCGTCATATTTTTTGCAGGATAAGTTGATGACAGTCCCATCAGATTCTTCAAGCGGCGGTGCTTCAGGAAATTGGCTTTTTAAGAATAAGGAGCATGGAAAGACAAGTGCTGCAGCAAGTCTGGTGTGCTTCTTTTTCCTTTGCACTTATTTTCTGGTAATCTAGTAGTAGGAAGTCTCGAACTAAAAGTTTTTTGTCTTCTTATAGGGTATGATCCTACTGTGGGATGTTGACTCGGGACTTGCTCAAATTGACAAGTACTTCCACAGCAATGATAACCACGTGATTGCCGGTGCCTTGCTAGGAGTTGGGATTGTTAATAGTAGTATAAAGAATGATTGTGATCCTGTGAGTTGTCTTCGATTTTATTTTCTTTTGGGATGTCTGTAACCTACGATAGTACTTCTGAATCGTAATTTGTTACCTCAGGCATTGGCGCTTCTTAGTGACTATGTAGATAAGGAAGATCCATCCATCCGAATTGGGGCAATTATGGGCCTAGGAATTACCTATGCTGGCACTCAGAATGAGCCGGTAAAGTATCCTATTTCTTTTCCTGTTGATAAATTTGCTAATCAGCTGCTACTTGTATTTCATAACCAACATGGTCTACCACGTATTTAATGTTCCCATGAAAATCACATCTTCTTTTATGGTTTTGAGAATGTTGAATTATGGGCCTAGGAATTACCTATGCTGGCACTCAGAACGAGCCGGTAAAGTATCCTATTTCTTTTCCTGTTGATAAATTTTCTAATCAGCTGCTACTTGTATTTCATAACCAACATGGTCTACCATGTATTTAATGTTCCCATGAAAATCACATCTTCTTTTATGGTTTTGAGAATGTTGATTAGCACTTTCATTTTTTCAATATTTTTTTGGCTCAGGGTGTTTCTAATTTGTGGTTTTTTGGTTAAAGCTAACTCATCTTTGTCTTTTCAGTTGCGTTATAAGCTGTCTAGCATACTTAATGATGCCAAAGCTCCGTTTGATGTGATTGTGTTTACTGCAATCTCATTGGGCTTGATATTTGTTGGGTCATGCAATGAGGAGGTTGCTCAGGCTATAATATTTGCATTAATGGACCGAAATGAGACAGAGTTGGGCGAGCCTCTTACTCGGCTGTTGCCTCTGAGTCTTGGTCTTCTATATCTTGGGAAGCAGGTAAATCACTTCTTAAGACTTTTAGACAGTGCATCATGACTTGTTTCTAGTTCCAGAAATTCTGTGCTTTTTCTTGCTTAATTCTTAGCTTGCATGCGTGATAGTTCTCATGAGTTATATCAATATGTGGTCAAAGAAACCCTCACAGTGGTTATAATACTCCATTTATGATTTTCTATTGTTCTGATTGCACTTTGGAATCCATTCCCTGCATTACAGGAAAGTGTGGAGGCTACTGCTGAAGTGTCAAAGACGTTTCATGAAAAAATCAGAAAACATTGCGATATGGTTCTGCTTTCTTGTGCCTATGCAGGAACTGGGAATGTTTTGAAGGTAATCGTTAATGTCAATCAGTTGTCATTTGGAATCTCCATTGCGTGTATGAGGTAGCTGACTTTGTGCCAATGCAGGTCCAACACCTTCTGACTCAATGTTCAGAACATCTTGAGAAGAGTGAAACCCACCAGGGCCCTGCCGTGCTAGGAATTGCTATGGTTGCCATGGCAGAGGAATTGGGCCTGGAAATGGCAATTCGTTCGTTAGAACATCTTTTACAGTATGGAGAACAAAATATTCGCCGTGCAGTTCCTTTGGCACTTGGTCTCCTTTGCATATCAAACCCAAAGGTAATAATCTAGCTAGGCTCAACTTTGCATCCTCTGCTGTTTGGGGCGTAATGTTTTCTGTAGAAATGATTGTAGTGTTTTCTATTTTCTCCCAATGCTCTTTTTACGTGACTGAATGGTAGTAGTAATTGATTTTTTTTTGGGTCTCTTGTCAACGATCTTTTTTTATTTGTTTGTTTATTGGTAATTATTTTATTCACTTTTATATTTTTTTATTGTTATTGGAGAAAACCTTCAAATCAAAAACTTCTATCTTCTTTGTGGCTTGTGTTTCTTTAGAAACCCGCTCTTTAAATTTTGCACAGTGATTTATGCAAAGTAATTATATTTCTTTTCAACACATCACACTTTGGGGTCAGTAATTTAATAGAACAGATAAAACTAGGCTGCTATAAGAGTATTGACTCCTGTAGAGTTTAAGGCCTGATGTTGTGTCTTGTAATGTTTAACCAATTTGTTAATGGGGTTTTGACCAGGTCAATGTTATGGACACCTTGAGCAGGCTTAGCCATGATACAGATTCAGAAGTAGCAATGGTAAGGAAAGATAACATACTCTATCTATTACTAAAACAATTAAGTTGAAGTTTAGAGCTAAAGCTGATTTTTTCTTATGCTTCAGGCAGCGGTGATCGCCTTAGGTTTGATAGGTGCAGGAACCAACAATGCCAGAATAGCCGGCATGCTTCGCAATCTTTCAAGCTATTACTACAAAGATGCCAGTCTTCTATTCTGTGTAATGCATCTTATAAATTCTACCTTTGAATTTTTGCTCATATCTAATGGTTTTTGTAGTGTTCATTTGTTTCCTTTGGTAACTTTGTCAGGTGCGAATTGCCCAAGGTCTTGTGCACTTGGGGAAGGGCTTATTGACTCTAAATCCTTATCATTCTGAGCGATTCTTGCTTTCACCGTAAGTAATAACTATTAGAGGAGCAAGTGTTCAAACACCTCTATCATCTCCCTAAAAGTGCAGCTTTGTTATTTTCTCCTAGTTCCGAATCTTTGATATAATTCTTCATTCTTCTTGCAGGACGGCACTTGCTGGAATTATAACCATGCTACATGCATGTCTTGATATGAAAGCCATCATCTTGGGAAAATACCACTATGTTCTGTACTTCCTTGTTTTGGCAATGCAGGTTGGCGTTTGATCTCTCTCTCTCTCTCTACTTTTTTTCCCCCCAATAAATCCTTTACACTTTCTGGGCAATTTAGATTGTCTTTTGTGGTAATTTTCTTCTTTTATTGTGATAGCCGAGAATGTTGATGACTGTGGACGAGAATCTCAAACCGTTGTCTGTACCTGTTCGAGTGGGCCAAGCTGTTGATGTTGTCGGCCAAGCTGGTCGTCCTAAAACAATCACTGGTTTCCAGACCCACTCTACACCGGTTCTTCTGGCAGCTGGTGATAGAGCAGAGTTGGCTACAGAGAAGTAATAGAATAATACCCCTTCAAAATTTTTGTTTGACCATTTCGCTATTGTTACATGATTGCTTTAACACATGCTTCTTTTCTTGCAGGTATATTCCTCTCTCTCCCATCCTTGAAGGCTTTGTCATCTTGAAAGAGAATCCTGATTACCGGGAGGATCACTAGTTTTGCCAACCATGACATGAGCCGGCGATTGCTTTATTTATCCCTCATGTTTTAGGCGTAATTTGGAGTTCACATCAATGCCAGCCGTTGGATGGAAATCATCGATGCAAGTGAGCTTCGAACTTTTTCTTTCTCCAGTTTCGCCTCAAGAAAGCAGAGCATGGTGGAATTAGATGATTGTACACTTGATGAATGCTGCAACAGGAAAATGTAGGTGGACCATTGTCATTCCATGTCATAGATTACTAAAGTTTTCCTGCGAGGAGCCATTGTTTTATGTAGTTTATTTTGAACGACTGTAGCATGGCGACTCGGTATCGGTTACTTTCAAAATGGATGTTACAGTGCGGTAATACAGTAAATTATTAGTGTTTTTTTCTGTTGAGGAAACAGTAACTATTAGTTGACTTGACAGCATGAAATTCATCAGAAAAAGTTGAAACGCCATGAAATCCAACAAGGCATTTTGGGTTTTTTTTTTTTTTTTTTTTTTTTTTTTTTTATTTTTTTTTTTTTTTTT